CCGCCTCCCCGGCTTTGCTCCAGGTGTCCCTGGTCTGCTGGAGACGGTCCCCAGCAGACCAGGGGCACCCAGAGCAGCTTTTCTCGCCCCGGAGGTCGAGGTGGCGGGACCGCTGCTCTCTGGGCGGTCCCGCTGCCTGCGAGCTCCGGGGCGAGAAAGCCCCGTTCGTAAGTACGGATCTGACATAAGTCGGATCCGCGTAACTCGGGGACTGCCTGTAGTTAGAAATACTGCTTGATCTGCCTGTGTAGATCAGACACACTGTGTGTGAAAAACACACATAATAACTTGCTAATGTCTGTGTAACTGTAGATACTGAGTTGAGCTGAGTTTGAGAATTTTGATCAAGATGACCACACTTCCCCCTTTCACTGCCTAGAGCTCTCCTTGGTCCCCACTCCATCCAGGAAGAATCCCCTATTAGGATCCTGCAGACCCCAGTCCCATTCCTCCTCTGCAGAATCCTGCAGCCAACTGCTTTCCCCTTCCTAATGCCATGGTATTGTCCAGGAGCTATTCCTCTTTCTCCAGTCTTCTATAGGAGGGCTACCACACAATTCTTACCTTCATTAACTCACTCTACCTGCGCTATGGGGGTGTTAAGCCACTGTTGCCAGACTTGGAGTAGAGGCCAGCACTATTGTGCCACCACTTCCCAATAGCTGCTGCCTCTAACACAAACAGCATAATTATCTCTGCCATTCCAATGGGGAAGCTGCAGGTCATACAGGCAAAATTCTAGAGATGCCTGTGTTGTCTCACCAAAACCAGCCCCAAACTGTAGTACCTGTAATATCACAAGCATTGGCAACACCACACCTGGCAATCTGGTGAACGAGAAGGAAGTTGCAGAGAATTGCAGGCGAGGAAATGTAATATGGAAGTATTATAGTTATTTCAAAGAGGAGTAACCTGGAGCACAGAGGAAGGTGAGACTCTCCAGGGCTTGAGAGCAAATAAGTCACAGAACCAGGAATAAAATGCAAGAGTCTTGACTCCTACTTCTTTTGCTATGACACATTGTTCTCCTTCCCTTAGCTCTATAAGGGCACGTCTATACTGCAGCATTATTTCGAAATAACTAATGTTATTTTGAAATAAGGTCAGCATCTACACTTATTTCAAAATAACGGGCTTCTTATACTGGAATAATAAACCCTCATATCACAAGGAATAACACCTATTTTGAAATAGCTATTTCGGGAGTTATTATTCCGAAACAACATATTTCAAAATAAGTACGTAGTATAGACATACCCTATGTGAGCCCTTTGGCATTTCTTTGTAAAGTTTGAGAGACATTCACTGTAGGACATAGGAATGTTATGTCCATTTCTGTGTATAGTGCTCATTTAAGAATAGCTTCATGCATATTTCATGTTCATGAGAATGCTAAAGTTAATCAAAGAATTCGGGTAATTGAGAACAAAAAATACTCACTATAACCCTTAGAAAAGTTCAAATATAAAAAATGAACTAATTTTTTTTTACATTATCACTTTTAATTAGAAAGAATAATGTTGTTTCAGAAATTGCCTTGGCCAGGTAACAGGAATGGTTTTAATTGTTGTCATCCTTTTTGTTTTCTCCCCTGTTGCAGCTCCCGGACAGCTGTATAATGGGTTACTATGAAAAATACAAGCATAGAATGAATGAACTGGAAGCATTTAATATGGTAAAAATCTCAGGATTAAAAACATTAACATTTTTTGTTACATCTACTATTAGGCTAAAATAGACCCCTGTCAAATTTTATGTGGTGGTAGACTAGCTTATAGTGTGATATACTGTCTATAGAAAAACAGTTCACATGGAGGATATCCTATTCCAGAGCAATATCAGATGTCAGTAAAATAATAAAAAATACATGAAAGGTTCTTTTTTAAGGGATATTATGAATGTGAAGAAAGAAATGCCAGACTCCTTCTGAATTCAAATTGGTCTCCATTAAAATATTTCACAAAAAATTATTTTAAAATGTTTTCTCTCCTCAAAAGCTTTCTACCACTTATAGTATGATTCACATGTTAGATTATGCCTCAGAGCTAACCAAATAAAATATTTTCTCTGCTTATAACATTCCATTGACCTTGGGTCTTTACTAGAGTTTTCTGAACTTATCAGCTAGGGAAGAACTGGCAAGCTGGCAAATTGTAAAGGTTTTTTTCAATAAATTTATTCACCTTCCTAGAATTGTTTTCTGCGGATAGAGTAGTCTTTTTAGGAGTATGTTGGTTCCCTTTCCAAAAGCTGTGATTATGTTTTACCTTTCTTTCAGTTGAAAGTTGTTCTTGCTCCCTGTATAGAAGTTTTGTTACTTCTGGATCGTCTTTGCTACCTCAAAGAGAAGGTGTGTTTACTTTATATTTTGTGATACCTGAAGTCTGCTTATTTTAAACAAATTATTCACTGAGTACCAGAGAGTTCCTGTTGCAGACTTACTATTCTCATCATAGTTGAAGAATTGTTAAGTATCCATTCCATCTCTGTCTAAACATATGCCCAGCAGATGTTTTTTATTATTATTATTTTAATCAAAGCTGCACCAGTAAATTTTAATGTTCTTTTAATTGCATGGTAATTACTAGTCAGGAGACAATAAAAAATTTAAACCCCTGACAAATCTGATTCCCTATCAAGTATTGGTATATTAATTATTAAAATTAATACTGGAAGCACTAAGCAAACATTACCCTGTGCATATCACAATGAGGAGTCCTTTGGTTAGTCTTAAAAACTAACAGATTTATTTGGGCATAAGCTTTCATGGGCAAAAACCCACTTCATCAGATGCATGCCTCTGAAATTTCTACTCCATGCATCTGCCGATGTATTTTTTGTCCATGAAGGCTTATGCCCAAATAAATCTGTTAGGGTATGTCTACACAGCACAGTTATTTTGAAACAATGGATGGCTTATTTTGAAATCTGTAAACCTCATTCCATGAGGAATAACGCTTATTCCGAAATAGCTATTTCAGAATAGCAGTAGTGTGGACGCTCCATTGCTGCTATTTCGAAATAACTCCTCCCCAGGGTCAATCAAAGTAATTATTCCCCAGTGCCTCTTGGGGCTCTAAATCGAGGTAGCACATCCAGATTAGGAAAACCTGCCTTGGACTAATTTTAAGGCTTACATGTAGTGTAGACGTGCTATTTCAATATAAACTATTTCAGGGGGAAAAATTCCAAAATACTTATTTTGAAATAAGAGTGCTTTGTAGACATACCCTTAGTTTTTAAGATGCTATAGGACTCCTCATTTTTGCAGACACAGACTAACAAGGCTATCCCTCTGATAACTATATATACTAACACTTCAAATTGATGATATTTTAACAGTGCATCTTCTGACAATTGATCTGGATGGCAGTCATTGTGGGCTTTGGATCATCTCCAAAATACATGTGGATTATTCTTATACCTACTTAGTGAAGATATGTAATGAAAAAAGTTTTCTTCCAGTATCTAATCAATTGAGTTACACCCGATTAACATATAGCTCTTCTGAATTGGCCACATATAGATCTGGTGCACAGTAAACTGGTGCAACTACAAAGGCTTCCACTAAATTACACCCACTTGTTCTTAAGTGCCAGCTTGTCCTAATTAACTCAGAAGTAATTATCATACGTATGTTGTTCCAAAAACACATTTTCCATCCAATCGTAATTTGTTAGAAGGTTACCGTGGTGTCTTTGAAGCTTCTATTGTGGGCTATGGTCAGAATAAAGTTTTGTGACCTTTTCATATTAAACATATTTGGGTGAGTGGGTTTTTTTTATTATAAGTTTTTCATTTTAATAGCTCCATTTTATCATAAGGAAAGTTCTTCTTTATTCTCTTCTACAGTGCTCTTGGAACAAATGAGTTATAATACATATTTGCTTTTGTTCTAACTGGTATTTTTATAGAGAGAGGGGCATTTTTGAAAATATCTAATGATGTATTTTCCCAAATGACAACAAGGTATAAATCACGAAGAGATTGGTATATTTCCCAAACTGGAAGATCAGGCCTTACCCTCTGCACTTGGCACTGGTTTACCTCTCAAAATGTAATACAGCAATTGATTTAATCTTGCCTGGTTACACCTGTTGTGTGCAGAATTCACATTCCCCATATATTTCTTTGCTTCCCTGCATAAAATGAAAGGGAAGCCACAAGAGCATCACATACTTCTCTTCAGCAGCACAGGCATGTCAATTCCAAGAGCAGCCAATGGTGAGGTAAATCACTCTGGTCTGGTGAATGCCAGGGGAATATTTTGCCCCCCCCCCAACCAGAGGCAAGACATGGGGGCAAATATGGAGTCACAGTGCGTGCAACTGTCCTCCCCATTTTCACAGAGCTGTTTGAGGGAGGGAGTGTTCTGCTCTTGCTTGCTGACACCTGCATCCCCCATACTTGGATCCTGCTGGGCTGAGCCTGCCTACCCACACCTGGTGCACCAGTTGGAGAGGGGCCGGGACCCAGGGTATTTCCAGAGCAGGTCCAACCTTTGCACTGGGCCAGGGTCAGGTGAAGCCTCACTGCCAAATCCCTAGCCAAGAAGTGAGGTGATTGCAAGATAATCTCCTACTTCCATGCAACCAATGGCGTGTGCTTCCTACTGCTATGCTGGAGTCTCTTTATTTATTTATTGACAAATATATATTGCAGAATTTTAAAATATTATGTGTAGAATTTTTGGTGAATATTTTTAATTTTTTTGGTGCAGAATTCCCAACTGGTTGACTTCACAAGTTGAATTTTCCTAGACAAGATGCAATAAAAATTATGGAAACTATACAAAGTGTTACAGCCAAATCTAAGTCAACTTACTCATGTAAACAATCACATTAACTTCAGTTGTACAATAGGTTGGATCTCCCTGTTCCAGCACCCTTGGGACTTGACTGGTCCTGGTTGAGAGATTTTGCTGTACATGCGATGATCATTTCTGGACATTCTGCCGCCAGTCCCCTCCAGCCTTGGCCTAGCTGCTGCCCTCCCAGCTGGCTCCCCCATCTTGTTGGTCCCGCTGCCCTGACAGCCCCCATTGCCCTACTGGGCAGCCCCACCACCTCTGTGCATTGGTCTCCTGCTGCAGCTCCCACCTCCTGTTGCCACACTGGGTAGCCCCATTTTCTTCATGCCCCCGGGTTCCCACTTCAAAGCCTGGCTCCTGCTGCCATTCTGGGCATCCCCCATATCCTCTCCAGCAGGCTGCTCCTGCTGCACATGGGGCTCCCGCAACCACGCGTGGAGCTCCCACAGCTCTGCCAGGAAGCCCTGCTGGCTTGCGGGACTTCCAGGCGCTAGCCCTCCACTGGGACTCTCTGGTCCTGGAACATCCATGGTCCTCCCAGACCACAGATGTTGCTGGACCAAAGAGTCCCAGTTAAGAGAATTTGCATGAATAAAGTTAGTAGGTTGTGCTTTTAATTTCACTGCCTGTAAGTCATAAGAGACTTGTTTAGTGAGTGGCAAACTCACATGAGAGCATGTAAGAAATAATTTAATGACTTTAAACCACAAATTGCTTTACTTTTCATAAGCATTATTTTGTGAGTTCACAACTGTTTCATGCATTGCATAGAAGTTAGAGTTTTGGTTTTTGGGGTGGTTTTTTTCTGTTTTGTACATCAAAATGTGTCCCATTCCCATATCTTAGCTGTTAAGTCCAACACATTTTTATGTACTTTAATCATATATCATTTTACAGGACAACATTGCCTGGTCTGGACTAGTGAAATTATTTGATCCTGTAAAATCCCCCAGATGCTATGCAGTTGTTGCTCTGAAGAAATAGCAGTGCATTCAAGTTGAAGCAGTTGCAAGATAATTCACAGCTCTACATCTGATACTATTATTACTATTCACTCCCACATTTATTTTGTTATTATTTTAAGTTATGTAAGTACGCTAGTAGTATTATGTAATCATTTTGTTTTTACCTGAAAAAATAAAGAATTTAATAAGTATGAATCATGAGAAATATATTGAAAGTAAAATTGAAGTTGTTTTATATATTTCAACATGTCCTGGTATAATGTATTAAAGTAATGTTAAGCATTTGATTTTCCCAGAAAAATTTAGAGGCCCATATTGTGTGACTATTTTTAAAGCCTTTAATGGCTTAAAAAGTGATATGATGTGATATGTTATAGTTCAGACTGTGACAGGGCGAGGCAGTCCCACACTGAACCCAAAGGGCCCAGCCAGGGTTACCTGGCTGCAGAGGCCCCTCCCCCACAGCCCTACCGAGCTGTAGCTCCACTATAAAAGCCTGGGGAAGGGCTCAGTCTGGGAGGTCAGTCGGAGAAGGACTGGTGAGGGGAGCTCCTGCGCAGCGGTTGCCCGAGACTCCAGGAGAGGCTGGAGGGGGCGCGGAGGCGAGTTGGTGCGACCCAGGGACTGCCTGCCAAGGAGACACCGGCCTGGAGGTAGCAGTGAGCTGGGCGACTACAGGGGAAGAAACCCCAGGGAACCAGGTAGGAAGTGGCCCGGGGCAGGAGCGGGAGCCTCCTCGCCCGCCCAGAGAACCTCGGCGCGTTTTGGCCGGATTGCCCCGCCGAGGGAGTGACCCGCTACCCGGTTGCTCACAGGGCCCTGGGCCGGGACCTGGTGGAGTAGGGTGGGCCTGGGTCCTCCTGCTTGGGGTGCGTCCCTGCTACGACCTTAATCTCTGTTCAGGACTCAGGCTGGAGGGCCTTGACCTTGACTTAGAGGGCCAGCTTTAAACTGTGCTTCAGACTCAGGCCAGAAGGCCTTGGCCTTGACTTAGAGGGCCATCTTGAAACTGTGTTCTGGACTTAGGCCGGAGGGCCTTGGCCTTGACTTAAAGGGCCAGCTTTAAACTGTGTTTCGGACTCAGGCCAGAAGGCCTGGACTTGAGAGGGTAGGTGGGAGAGGCCCGCCACAAGACTTATGGGGAAGTGCCCAATGCTCTTAGGATCATAGAACTGAAAGGGACCTTAAGAACTCCTCTAACCCAGTTTTCTGTACTCATTGCTGGAGTAAATCTTGTCTTAGACCATCCCTGACAGGTGTCTGAAAAATCCAAAAATGGAAGATTCCACAACCTCTTCTGGACAATTTATTCTAGCAGTTAACCACCCTGAGCGGAAGTTTTTCCTACTGTCCAATCTAATCCACCCTTGCTGCAATGTAAGTCCATTTCTTCTTGTTCTATCCTCAGAGATGAAGGAGAAAAAAATTCTCTGTGTAACAGCCTTTTATGTACTTGAAAACTCTGATCATGTCTTCCCTCAGTCTTGTCTTTAGACTAAACAAACAGATTTTTTTTCCAATTTTTCGCTAATAGGTCATATTTTCTAGACTTTGAATCATTTTTGTTTCTCTTCTCTGGACTCTCTCCAGTTTGTCAACATTTTTCCTGAAATGTGAAGCCCAGAACTGGACACTACTCCAGTTGAGGCCTAATCTGCACAGAATAGAATAGAAGAATTATTTCTTGTGTCATGCTCACAACACAAGCTATTGAACAGAACCAGACTAAGAACTGATCCTTGTAGGACCATACTTGATATGCACTTCCAGCATGACACTGAGGGTACGTCTAAACTACATGGCTCCGTTGCCGGAGCCATGTAGATTTGTTTGTTCGGCAAAGGGAAATGAAGCCGTGATTTAAATAAATAAATAATCACGGCTTCATTTAAATTTAAATGGCTGCCCCGCTCTGCCGATCAGCTGTTTGTCGGCAGATTGGGGCAGTCTGGACACTCCCCTGCCAACATGAAAGCCCTTTATCGACCTCCCCAGTAAATCTCATCCTACGAGGCATAACGGGGAGGTCGATAAAGGGCTTTCAGGTCGGCGCGGGAGCATCCAGACTAGCGCGGTGAGCCGACAAACAGCCAATCAGTTGTTTGTCAGCCCAGCGCAGCAGCCATTTAAATTTAAATGAAGTCGCGATTATTTAAATTTCCCTTTGCACATTTCAGGGTGCAGCTATACTGCCCCCGTAAGTCAAAATAAGATATGCAGTTTGAACTAAGTAATTGCATGTCTTATTTCAATCTAATTTTGAAATAGCTTATTTTGAATTTCGAAATAAACTGCTCTTCTAATACGTCCCTGAACCCTCATGGAACCAGGGTTACAGGGACACCAGAATAACGACCCTGTAATTTCGAAATCTAATTTGAAATAATGGGCTGGTTCAAAATATGTGGAATAGCATTGCAGTCTAGATTTCCTTATTTTCTTCTTATGTACCCTTCCAGTCCTCTGGAATCTCTCCTGTCTTCCATGACTTTTTTTTTAAGATAATCGCTGATGGCTCAGATATCTCCTCTGTCAGCTCCTTGAGTATTCTAGGATGCATTTCCTCAGACCAAAGTTATTTGAAGATATCTAATTTATCTTAGTAATTTTTAACTTGTCCTTTCCTAATTTTAGCCTTTGATCTTTCCTCATTTCACTGGCATTTACTGTGTCACATGTCCAATCATTACTAATGTTTTTTGTGAAAACTAAAACAAAAATGTTATTTAGCACCTCTGCCATTTTCACATTTTCTGTTGTTGAATTCCTCCCAAATTAAGAAATGGCCCTTTCCAGTCCTTGGTGGTCTTGCTTTTTTAATTATTTGTAGAATATTTTCTTGTTACCAGTTAGGTCTCTAGCTTGTAGAATATTTTCTTGTTACCAGTTAATCTAATCTTGTTAATTTAATCTTGTTTTGTGCCTTCATAATTCTATTAACTCATCTCAGTCAGTGAAATCTGAGCTTCTGTAAAGCCAACAGAAGTTTTACTATTGTCTTCTGTAGGATAGGTTAGGTTTTGTGGGAATCTCAGCTTCAATTGGGTAAATCTATGCTGAAATTGAAAGTAAAATTTACTTACTTTGCTTTGGTAATTGTAGACCTCTCACTCTGTTTAATAAAGTAATTGAGTAATTTTAACGTTTTTACTTTCTATTAATAATTTTAAGTGAAATACAAAAAGAAGTAAGGAAAGCTATTGAGTGGGCAGCATATGATACATTCTTGTAATTTGCAGATCCATGATGCTTTGGAGCCATTGGGGTAGTGCATACTATTAAGGAAACTTTTTCTGCATTTTTAGTGCTCTTTTGTATTGTTGCTAATACAGAATGACTACTATATTCCAACCCAGAATCAGCAACAAGTTACAATACTAGGCAGGCCAAAATGTTTTAAGAGCCTTCAAAATTAAGGGCATTATATAAATTTAATGATAGATGTGTTGCAGTTCTGGAGTTAACTGCACCTCTGCTCTTTCACTGGTCTATATGGGGGCACATCTTTATGTCTCAGGCTTCAGCTGCAACCCCCCTATAGGCAGGATCCTCAACCTACCTCCTCCAGACAAAGGAGTTGGTCTTATAGTTTTTCTGCTATTCTGCTATCCCAGAAGCACTGACCTGAATCCAACATCTGTGTATGGTTTGCTCTGTCTTGGGGACAATGACAGGTTGATGAAACAGCTTTCAGAGCACAGTACATTTATTTTGGGGACAAAAGCATTATAGAGAAAACACATCACAAAACAATATGCAGTCTGCATGCAAGTTACACTTTGCAGATGTCATCCATCTTCCACATGGCTTTCCAGTCCTTCATACACTTCCTCATGGTTACAATCTCATGTCAATGTTTGGATCAAAATCACACAGTCTTGCTGGCCCTTTATACCACAAGCTCTTTGTTTGGTTCCTGGATCTCTTGCACCCAGTATGTAGCAGTATATGGAATTTACCCCAGTGGATTGTACTTCTCTGGATCTGTCCAAGAGTCTGCAGTGATTATCGTCCACTGATCTTAGTCCCTGGAGGAAGCTTGGTAACCCTGACCCATGGAGCTAAACTACAATCCCTAACTTTCAAAGATATAGATATATATAGATATAATTACAACAGTTTACTATTAATACTGGAGTCTATGGCATGTGGCACATCTCAGTGCACTAGTCTTTTGAAGTTTCCATGCTCCCAAGGTTTTGAAAATATTTTACTTTAACTCCTTTCCTTCTTCCTTCACTGGAAAGAAAAATGTGAGTGATCTGTGTATAACGTAAGTAGTATGTGTATTACAGCAAATCTAACAGGTCCCAATCTTGATTGGTACCACATTGTGCTAGGTGCTATATATACACATAATAAGAGAACACACCAACACCCAAAGAATTTGCAATGTAAATAGAAAAGCCAAACGAAGGGAGTATTATCGCTACTTTTGCTGCTAGGAAATTTAGGAATAGAGAGATTAAGTGATTTGCCTTCGATTACATACGGAGTTAGTTGAAGATAGAAGAATTGGTTTCCTGAATCTCAGTTCAGTGCTTTAACCACAAGACTTTTCTCTCACTCTAGGATATATGTCTTCTAATCCTACCAGTGGCAGACTTGAGCAGCACTTTAAACTGTGATTCAGACATTATTTACCTAATAAATTGCTTGAATTTCATCGTGTTTACCACAGACCATTTCTCCATCTTGTGCAGATCATTTTGAACTATAATCCCATCCTCCAAAGCACTTGCAATCCCTCCCAAATTGATATCATCTGCCATCATTTTATAAATGTGCTCTCTATGCTATTATCTAAATTGTTGATGAAGATATTGAACAGAAACTGACTCCAAAATGATCTCTGCAGAACCTTACATTATGTGCTTCCAGAATGACTGAACCATTGATAACTACTCTCCGGGAACGGTTATCCAACCAGTTATGCACCCACCTTACAGTAACACCATCTAAATTGTATTTCTCTAGTTTATTAATAAAAAGGTCATGTGAGACTGCATCGAATGCTTTACAAAAGTCTAGGTATAACAAGTCCACCGCTTCTGACTTATCCACAAGGTTTATTATCCTATGAAAGAAGGCTATCAGTTTGGTTTGATATGATTTGTTCTTTACAAATCTATGCTGGCTGTTACTTATCACCTTTTTATCTTCTATATATTTGTAAGTGGATACCTTAATTATTTGCTTCATTATCTTTCCTGATACAGAAGATAAGTTGAGTGGTCTGTACTGTAGAGCTTTTTTTCACCTAATTTTAGATGCCCAAGTGCTGTATTCAATCACTTGGGATCTTCCACCAATACAGTCTAAGGACAGAAAATGGGAAATGAATCATGAGGTCCAGACAAGCTGTGGACACGCACAGGTTTCTGGAGTGGAGGAAAGATGGGCTTTGCACTTTCCTGAGATTGCTGGGGGCAGTTCACATTTGGTGCAATTTAAGCTGCCTTATTACTGCTTTAATGCCAGATGGTAACTTCCCTAAACAGCTATTGAGTTGTGCAGTGTTCTTAACATCCTGTTCCTTCAGGTTATACCTGTCATTCTAAAAGATGATCACAGATGGTTCAGATATGTTGCCTGAACTATACCAAGGTCTTTCCCAGAGATAATTCTCAGCTACCCCCTTAGGCTAAGTGTATATGGCCCCTTTGTTCCCCCAGAGTAGAGTGTATCAGGGCCATGATCTAGACCTGAATGTGCTATGTATAAACTGTGACTAAGTGGAATCTTCCACGAACTCCCCAGGCAGTTGTACTTGGCTGATGAGACTATTGGCTGCATGTGTGGGAACTTATTTGTTGATGTATTTATCTCTGTGGGTTGTCTCATTAAGCTTGCAGATGTACTGTCAATGTTAAACAAGTGAAAAATTTCTATTTTAAGTCTTGCGTGGCTTTTATTAGAATTTTCCAGTGCACAGCACCATACGACTTTAATATGTTACAGTGCATAAAACACAATTAATTAAATTACCCTTATATAGGAAAAATGGACAACAAACAAATAACAGACGGTAGTATAATAAGTGAAATGAAAGGGGGAGAAGGAAAGTGGAAAATGGTAGCTAGGCTGGGTAGGAGTGGAAATAAAAGAAAATTTGCCCAATACTAATTGTTTTTGACAATTGAACCAAATTCAGTGCCAGCCATAAGATTGTTTTTAGGGCTAAGAGAAAGTAATCTTAGTTCTGTATATTTCTGCAATCATTGTCTGAGTTGTGAATGAGGTAACCCCAGTAAGCCAGTCAGCAAAAATTAAAATAAGAATTGCCTTTCCGACAAGCTAGGTCTCACTTGTAGTGTATGTTTGGGGGAGACATGAAAGTGATGGTTAGCCTAATATTAGGCTCCTTATCTTTCAACTATAACTCCCAAACCACATGCGATCCTCATTACATTTATGGAGCCAATCTAAGCTCCTCACATTCCTCGACTTTCAATCCTGCAGAGCTGCTGCTGAACACTTGCAATTCCCATGGTAGTTAATAAATGGTAGTTGCTCATAATCTCGTAAGAGCAAGGTAAGGAAGAGAAAAATGGAGCACTCCATGAG